TAGAAATGAGAAATGAAACCACACTCACCTGGACTGTTGTTTAGTGTAATCCAGAGATGTTCATCTGGACGGTAGGTGTCTTGGGACCCCTGGAGTAACTCGATGGCGATTTCATTAAAAAGAGCAAAATGGACACATTTCCTTGTAAGGGCAACATATGTTGAATCAAAGTGGATTGTGAGTTGATTTGGAGGCTAGCTCTTCTCTCTACGCTTCTTTAGAATAAAAGCATGTGTTCTGTTTCTATACTCTCTGTCAGAGTATTTGATCTTTTCAGTAGATTTCAAAACAAACTCTAAATAAGGAGTAATGTTTTCCTTCTTCAATGTTTTCAAATACTGAACTATTTCCCTGTTGGTTTTTAGGGGGAAATAGTGACCATCCATATTAATGACGCATCTCCACTGTAGATCCGACTCTAAAGGTCTCTCACCCGGGTCTACCTGGAGCCTGGATATGCCCCTGTAAGTGATATACTCAGACTGTCAGGATGTATAAGTATTTGAGAAGCAGTTCGATAATTCCTGTACAGCGATTTGAAACTCAAACATCGCTGCCTCATCTATGTGAATACAGTGGACACTTGAGGCATATAAATAGCTCAGAAGAGCTGTTCAAACATATCAAAATCTTAACCGAGGGTCATGATATATTATATATGCCAGAGGGAATACAGCTTCTTCTATGGACCAAGGATCTGTGATGTCGGAACTGTCCGTCACATAGTAAGGGCAAGCATCTATTCTAAATGTTGTCAGTAATGCACGTGAAGACAATCACACGTTCTTCCCTTCTAGAGCTGCAGCACAGGCTTGTGGTAGGGAAAGAACTTGATTTTCATCATCTAGATCCTCTGTGTGAGCATCGTGTGGCTAATATACTTGCACGTTGTACAGTCCTGTGACTATGATTATAATGTGAGTGGTAATGATACAAAGGTAACGTCCCCAAAACTTCATTTTTTTTTTTGACACCTTGGGGTGGGTTGTGGAGGGATAGAATCCTTTTTTTAGGAGTTAAGAAAGAAATAAATTCTTGCAACATTTCACTTCTCTAGAGGTTTCTACTTTTGCCCACTCTCTCAGCTGCACTCACTTTTCCAGATCCAATTTGCCTACTTCTTTGCTGTGTTTTGATTCCAGGCTATTCCCTGGTTGAACCTGATTTTGTGATACATCTACCTTCCTATTCCATGTATATTCTGGTCTCTTTCTGTCAACACATCCTCATACAGACTGGTTTACCGAAGCCACTCAGAGTCATTCACCCTCCTTTCCACCATTTCTGTCTCTGAACTGTTTCTATTGTTGGGTCAGCACATTTGTTATAATTGTGTCCAGTTACATACCTCTCTGTCTCCTCCCCTCCTGTTTTGGCTAACTTTTCCCAGAGTATGCCCATCTGGGTACAGTCTAGTAATTTCTCATCTAGCTTATCATTTTCAACCCTTTAAGGGGGAAGACCCTTCCAGATTTCTGTCCTCTCAA